CTGAGGTGCTGAGATCCCACAGGAATCCTGTGCTCCAAATCCAAATTCAGAGGGCTTTGTACAAAGCCTTCCACTGCAGATAAGTGCTGGCACGGTGATCACCCCACATCCTCTGGTTCGTGCAGCCTTCCCAAGTCCCTCAGCTCTCAGGGAACACCTCCCTGCCCTCCCATCCCTCTGGCTGCAGGGCCACGGAATGTCAGGGCTGGGAAGGCACAGGCAAAGCTCAGTATCCAGTGGTGCTGAAATGTGAGATGCTGAGGTGGTGAGGAAGGAGCCTGAGGCTCAGCCCTGCTCCCCTGGCCAGGACTGGGGGCAGCTCCTGCAGGAAGAGCCCAGGACATCAATCCCACAGCACAGGGACTGTAAGAATCTGCTCAGCCTCAAATGTGAGCAGAGCAAATCACACTTCCATTTAAGTGAGAAATCATTTGCTACTTAGACATTTTTGTCTCCTGGGAGTGCTCTTTCTAAAAGAAAAATTACTCTTCCTGCTAATTAGTCTTGTATAACCACAATACTTGACAAGTTAAAAGTTATTGTTTCATATAGCAGAAAACCACAAACATCATCACTTTCTCATTTTCTTGTGCTCTGCTTCAAAAAAAAAAAAAAATCAGCACTTCTGGATTCTTCCCTTTGCAGGCAAAACATTTTCCTTAAATAATTAATTTTGCTTATAGCTGATGTTTTCTCAGTGCTGGAGTTTAGGGTGAGTTTGGGGAGTGTTGGTGTTTGATCTATTCCCTGTTGTGCCCAGAAATCATGTGGGAAAAGGGGAGAAGGCAATGTGCAAATGTGAAAGAGCAGTCCCCTCCTCTGGGGTGCTTTGTGATGCACATCTCACTAATATGTGGATGTGTTTTCCACATGGGAAGTGGCCTCGTGTTGTTTTGCTTTTCAGACACTTTGACATAGTAATTTTGGGTAATGTTCTTTATTCTGAAATTGCTTTTAGCTAAATGAAGCAGTAAAATACTTTATTCTTTCCTGCAACTACTGAAGACTTAAAATATACATCACAGGCCTGACCTAGTTTTCAGAAGCACCTGTGAGAAGCCAGAGCACAAATGGAAAATGAAGGGGCATTGTCTTCTGAATCATTTAAACAAGAGTTTAAATCATCTCTCAAAGTGTGTGTGTGAAAAATTAAAGCATGGGCTCATTAAAGGCTGGGGAGGTAAGAGCACCCTGGTTTTAGGTGTGCACACAGGAATTTACTGAGTGTTTCAGGTGCCTTCATCTCCCTCTGCAAAACAGAAAAGTGATTATCTGTACCAAAGATCCCCTCAGTTTTTGGTTTGGCTGTGTGTTTGTGCCTTGTGGGTGTTTTTGGGAGAAGGGACTCTCTCATTTCAGCCATGCTGGGGCACAGCAGGATTGCCCAGCCTGGGGCCCTGTGCTTGCAAATGCAGCTCCTCTGGACAAGCCCCATGTCATTATTTTTATTGTTATTTTTCCTTCCCTCATTATTTTTATTGTTATTTTTCCTTCCCTCATTATTTTTATTGTTATTTTTCCTTCCCATGCTCTGGTGCACTCTGTTCTTACAGGTCCCTGTTGGAGGGGAATGTCTGAGACACATCTCTGAGGGTTA